TTCTTCAGTCTGGAACAGTTTCAATCCTTGTTTGATGTCGATCCTGGTAATTTACTGTTCCGATAGAGCTCACTTCCTCGTTCACAGTGAAAGCTTTTAATCCGTTGAATAGTTCCCATTCTAATGGGATCCGTATCGAAAAAAAAATCCTAGTTCTCGTTATATCCTGATCAATTGGCGCGTTTTGTTTTTGAGAAGTTGACAAGAGAAAATCGATCAATGTCTTTGAAACCCAGCGGTTTGGACCTTTTTTCAGGAAAGCAGTTGCGTATAATGACTTCAGGATGTAATCATGTTTTATATTTTATCATACAACAAAAGTTTAGTATTAAACACAATGTCTAGCATATATCATGTTGATAATTATTGTGTTAAGGGTCTATGAGGTGATTAACCAAAATTCTTTTCCATCATTATGATCCAGAAGCCTAACAAACCTCCGACCTATGCAGGCGAATGTATTCGATTGACTTTTATCACGCCGACAAGAAATTCTAGCCATTCAACATTATTCCCGACGACCAATATGGCTTCTGTAGTTACCTCTCAACAATCCACCAAATTCATGGTTCATCGCAAACTCTGGATTGAAACCAAATTGCTTTCTAGTATATACTATCCAAAACTAAAATCCTATCTGGCCGTTCTTTGATCTTCTTTGTAAACCAACGAATCTCTCCGCTGTTCCTCAAGGGAGCTTCTTAGGTCCGTTACATTTCACAATGTTCGGCAAACCTCACACTCCCTTACATTTGCAGGCGTCACGCCAGTCTTTCAAACCTCATTCTGTCCTGGCAGTTCGATCCCTCCAAGATCACCTTACCTAATCCTATATTTGTTGATCGTTTCTACCATGTTACCTAACGAACCTCTCCGCCGTTCCTCAAGGGAGCTTCCTAGGTCCGTTAACCATCCCTAACCATCCCGATATATTTCACAATATTCGGCAAACCTCACACTCCCTTAAGTTTGCAGGCGTGACAGCAGTCTTTCAAACCTGATGATGTCCTCCCAATTCGATCCCTCCAAGATCACCTTAACTAACCCTACATTTTTTGATGGTTTCTACTGTGTTACCTAACGAACCTGTCTGGTGTTCTTCAAGGTAGCATCCTCGGTCTCTTACTTTTCACAATATAGGGGAGACCACTCACCCTTACCTACGTAGACCGTAGCAATCCTTGCAAACCTCGATCATATGTTAGCAGTTAGACCATCAAAGATTACCTTACCTTAAAACCATGGTTCTTTAAATTGAAAATCAAAATGAAAACAAATCCCAATATGTGTCCGTAACCCTCAAAGGTAAAGTAATCCTTCCAGTTTAATCTGAATCAAATACCACTTCTAGCTCATCCTAAAATCCTATGGTATTGGTCGTTCCTCACCGATGTTCCTCAAGGGACCGTCCTAGGTCCGTTACTTTTAACAATATGGGGCAGACCTCCCTCAACACGAACTCTTCCACCCTTTTGCTGAAGATACAGTAGTCCTGCCAGCCTCGGTCCTGTCCTAACAGTCCGATCCGCCCAAGACCACCTAGGAGGTTAAGCACCTCGTACATAAAAGCCATTTGTCTTGTTCAAACAGATTGAGTCGAAGGAAATAACACTATTTGTACGCAAGGAGCACCAACCACAGGATTTAAGTTTAACTTATTTAGCCTACTCTCAAGCTTTAAAAAAGAAATACAGCACGATCGGACTCGTGATCGGAACGAGGGAATTTTTCAAGAAAACCCATCCGATGACGCTCGTTCACGAAAATTGATGGATCGTGGCCAATCCGCATTATAACGTCTTTCTCAATAGGTCAATTTCTTCGCTATTGTGCGTTTTCTGTAATGAAGAGATTCCGCAATTCGATAAGGAAATTTTCTTTGGATTATAAACCAAAGGAGCCTGGATTTCTGAGCTACAACAAAAATTGTGTTATCTTCTTAGTGTGACTTAATCTTACGAAAATTCTTACAAACGACTTATTAATACTCAATGTAGACCATAAAAACTGACGATGTTCATGGATAATGCATTTTATGATTTATAATTTTGGTAGCTTTTATCTTGCCTGTACCGAAACACAAAAATCTCAAGTCAATTGTGAAATTTGGTCTGCCTATCCTCTCGGCTAATTATATTTTGGAAATATGCAAGTTTGTCGATGCTTTCACCCTTTCGGTGAAAAATCAATGACCGACAAGAAGTTGGGATCATAGTTGTACGTTCTTCCGAGAAACGGGACCGGAAAGTGATTTCAAATTCATTCAACGTACGTCAATACCAAAGTTGTTTCTCGTCCGACGACTTTCCATCCTGAAAATATCTCCCGTTGTTTTAAAAACCGCCCGGCTTACTTTATACCAAGGACAGAAGGGTTTATCAACCCGAACCAACCAATGTTGTTTGTACGCACTGAGATCGAAGGATTTCTACCGTGGTATTCCGTCCTACTTCGATGTCTATCACAATTCTCCGTATGAGCTTCGGTCATGAATTATCAAATAGGTGGAATTCATCGTCCTGACGATTTTTTTTTATACCTTCGCTATTACTTCATCGATGATGTCAGGTGTGGCCGAAGAATTTCCAATCATAGCTAGCCCGAGTCCATTTATTTGAAGCTATTGCCTGTCAGAAGAGGCTGTTGAGAACATTAATATTATCGTGCATGGATCATCTCTATTGATGACCGTCACCGCGAAAAACCTGGCCAATTTATTCACATCATCTTCAGTGCGTTGGACTGTGTTATCCGATGTTATTTCGTCAATCGTGCCATCGAAATAGTGATTGGGAGATCGGAATGTTCGGACCGAAATGAAAGCTCATCACCCCAGAAGTCTCAGCAAAAGTAAAGAAGAAGAATACTTTATATAATTCACTTAATATTTATTCGGAGATCGTGAGATGCGGTCTGGTGTGTTGTAGGTTTTAGAAAAATGTTTTCTTATCGTGCCAACGTTTCGATCTTTATTGAGATCATCTTCAGGGCTCAAAGTGTTTGTTTTCCGTGTAGATGTGTCATTCTTGTCTGTCGTGTTGAAAGTGCACGAGATATATTGAGATGAAAAAGTTAGTGTCGCGAGCGGGATTCGAACCCAAGACCTTTAACCAAGACCTTACATAAAAGGAATAATTAATTGAAAGAAGTAATTTGGCCAATTAGACCACTAAAAATAAATGGGTTATTACAACCGTTGGAAAGCATAATTTCCCTGCTTTCAGGCTTTGACAATTTTATGATTTATGTTATTATAAGTGAGCAAACAAGGATGGGAAAACACAACTGTTGAAACGTTTTATTTTATTTTTCCAGTTCTAATTTATTTACTGAGAGAAAGTTTATGCTATTACGTGTAGTTTATAATGTTCTAAATGACTGTTAATCTTCCGGGGGATCGGTTGAGACCGATTAAAGTTATAATCATTTCTGTGATTTTGGAAAAAATAATCATCTGGAGAAGGCTGAAAAAATAAGAGAAAAATTGACAAAATTTTTTTGTCTTTCACAAAAATTTGTATTCTGGGCTTTTTCAGGGTGATAGAAGCAAATATCAACTTCGTTTTTTGGTTTAAAAAAAATTAACCTACTTTGCTACGTCGTGCGATCCCAAATTATGTATTTCAATATATGAATATTGTGTACGTTGTAGTAGGCAAAAAAAATTGTTTTTAAAAAATTGGATTCGTTTTAAGATAGTATAATAAAGTAGTATATAAATGTCATTAAATGAGATTAGGTGTAGAAAAAGATAGAAAAACGAAAAGACGCTTTCTGTTAAGAATGATTTTTTAAAGCACTTAAATATGAATTTTTATGTAAAACAAAAGATCGACCTTTTTTGGCGGATTTGCCTGAGGCGTTTTTTTGTTTTGCTTTGTTCCAGTCAAAAATGCATTACTTTTTTGGATAATATCCAAATACAACGTTATTGCAACCTTATATATTTAATGTCATAATTTACCTATTAATTATTTAAATTATTTATACTTGATGTAAAGTCTTGGTTGAGATGAAAAAGCTAGAGTCACGAGAGGAATTCGAATTGAATTCCATTCAAACACCGAAAAACCGGTTCCCCAAAAACCTAAAAGCTAGCAAAACCAAGTTTTTGTGGTTGTTTCCTAACATAATTACACCATCTATACAGAAGAAAAATTATTTTGTCCGAAACAAATTAATTAATTAAGTTACAACGGTTTGGAAAAAAGTTCTTATTTTTTCCCCTGCTTTAGAAAAAGTAAAAACATCGAAACACACAGCTTAGGGGAAAACGTGATTGTTTGAGACTTAACCCCAAAGTTTTTTTCTCACTATTTTGACTTGTTTTTGGTGAAACGAGTTGGATTCGAACCCACGACCTTCGGCTCAACAAGCCGCTGCTCTAACCACTTGAGCTATCGTGACTATACCAACTCCTCATCTCAACCTACATTCTCTCTAATTTTCCCTCTTTTTGCCATATTTTCAAATATTGTGTATATATTCAAATAATTTTCTTTTTTTATTAACTTCTGGCATCTTACAATTTAACACAAAAGAAAACCAAAACAAACAACAACAAGCTTTCAAGGACTGTTATAGCACTATTTTTTGTTCTGCTGGAGCATTGCGGAAAAATTAACATTTAACATGCTAAAAAAAGAAGAGGGCATTCACGATCTTACTGGACATTTCTCTATTCGAGCTAACACCGGTTAACATCTTATAAACATCGTGAATACCCCGATTTTCTTCTGATTTTTGAGCTGGGAAACGGTGTGATCTCGACCCCGGTCGTTGGTCGGCATGAGCAGCAAATTCAAAGTCTAGAATTTGCGCATTTTAAAAATGAAAATACAATACATCTGCTTATCGGAATTACAAAATTATGATACCAAAATGTGTAGAAAAACTTATAGTTTTTCAGTAAAAAATCTACTCTTTTTTAAAAATTTCCTTCCCTTTATCAGAATAAAAGCAAAATTTTGTTTACTTAATGACACTGTTCTGTTTTACAGATTCTTTCAAACGACGTCCAGTTTGAACCATCGAGAATGGGCGGGAAGTGAAGTGATAGTTAAATAAGCTAAGAATGCAACAAAAAGAAGTTGTAATATGAGTTAAATTTAGATTAAGACTATTATGTGTTTGCAATTGGAATAAAAAAAAAAAAAAATGATGAGTGTTAAACCGACGACCGTTCTGATAAAAAGCAGCAAAACTGGTTCTCTGTCAGTCGGGAAGGGTCCGAGCGGAAACGGGGAGACGGGCAAGCATGTAGTCCGTATCAAGCTGGAGGAGAGCAACGTAGTCGGCGACTCGTGCTCGGTCAGGATCACCATCCGGTCCGGATCGGACGAGGACAACAACAACATGCTGTACAAAGGCGAGGAATGCCTGTGCCAGCTGAAGGGCGAGTCGCCGGCGAGCGAAGCTGCCGATAGTGGCACGTGCAGCGACTTGGACGGCACCACTCCACCGCCCAACCACCGTCATAGGACCATCATACATTCCGACGACGACGACGACGACATCAGTTCCGACTCCCTGAGCGACACGGACCGTCGTTCTCCTCCAGGCTTCTTGCCGTTCCATTTAAACGAAAACGACTTCGAGAAGCACTCGCCTTCATTGAAGGACGACGGCTTCACCGGCCGACACCACGGACTCCACGGTGAATCGGGTACCATCAAAAGCTCCAGGGGCACCATCAGAGGTGTCAAGAATAGAGTTCGTGCCAGCATTGCCACTTTTCTACAATTGGATAATAACAAAGTAGGTGCATTTTATATATATTTTAACAAATGCTTGAATTTCTATCTTTTTATATTTTTTTTCTTATTCTCGAAACATTGATTCGATATAACTTATACACCTCGTCGAACAGTCGTTTCAAATGCAAAATGTCATACATAATCAACAATTACTATTTCAATGGTCGTGCCAGGATGGAAAATCATAAATAGTTTCAATGGCACATCAAAAAAACTGTCATCACTTAACGATGTTAAAACACAATGAACAACTGTAACGTTTAACGCTTGTTGGCACTTCCAAGGCCGTAAAATTCGATTGCGAGATTTGAACGGTCTTTACAGTAGTGTCGACATTTACACAAAAAAAAATGTGACAAATGTATTTATGAAGTATTCGATCAACAACTCTTGAATCATCAACATCGACAACCCTTGAAAATCGTAAGCCCAGGCGTCTTATTCTCCTGTATGGCAGGTGTCAGCCTGGAAGGTCAATTCAGATGAGAAAGCAATTCACACATTATTCCATTATTAAATAAATTGTCTCCCCTCATACTATTCACTGTTAGAGGAGGTCCTTCAAGAGTATTCGCGCTAATAAATACACTCAATAAATAAATTTAACACAAAAGGCATCCCACCTGAGGGTCGTGTGGTTTATCAGTTAGTTGTCTGTTCGTATGCAATTATTTTGGCCTTGCAAATACATTCCTTCATTGGTCATCTCATACTACACTTTCACGCTAATAAATAAACTCGTTGATCAATAAACGGTTTCATTCCATACCATTGTGATGAGGTATAGTGAGGAGATTTGCTCGATATTCCTCTATCCGCAGGCTGTACAACTAATCCAATCGAATCGACTTACTAGACATCCCGCCGCATTCTCACTAATAAATACACTCAACCTGGCAATTAAGTTAACACCATAGGGATCCAACCAGAGGGTCTTCTGTTCTTCAGTCAGTTGTCTGGTCCTTTCTGATTATGTTACTCTTGCTAATAATATTTCCGTCATCGGTCCTCTCAAACTACACATCACGCTAATAAATACATTTGTTATTAAATACACTGTTTTATTGTTTTTTAACCATTTACTCCTATAGTGCTGTCTTCACCCTAAGAAATATACTCAACTTTGCAATAAATTTAACACAATACGCATCCAACCTAAGGGATTGTGGTCTGTCAGTCAGTTGTCTCGTCGTTTCTGATTATTTTCACATTGCTAATCATATTCCATCATCGGCCCGCACATTCACGCTTATAAATACACTCAATGCCAAGGTATCCAACTATAGTAAGAGGGGTCCTGTCGTCCACTAGTCAGTCTGGTCGTTTCCTATCATTTTAGAATATAGTTTGATAGAACAGAAAGCAGGCTTACCTTTATAAAATTAAAAGTAAGTTTATGTTCTTGTCACCTCTGCCTACCAATTGATTACTGCCAGCCTAATTTCAACTCTCAACTCCTACAGTTCACACTTTCTCTCATTGTTAAATAAATTGTTTCCTTTGATACCACCCTCTCCTGTGAGGCGATGTCTTTCAAAGGCATTCGCGCTAATAAATCCATTCAATATGGCAAGAAATTTAACCCAAAACCTATCTAATAGGAGGGTCTTGTGGTCTATCGGTCAGTTGTCTGGTCGGTTCCGAACATTTTGCCCTTTCTAATAACATTGCTTCATGGGCCCTCTCAAGCTACACATTCACGCTAATAAATACACTTAATCGGGCAAGAAATTAACACAAAAGCTATTTAACCGGAGGGACTTGTGTTCTATCGTTCAGTTGTCTGGTAGTTTCCGAACGTTTTATCTCCCAGTCTATTCATTCACGCTAATTAATACATTTAATCTCGTAGTAAGTAACAAAAGGCATCCAACTATAGAAAGAGGGTCCTGTTGTCTATTAGTCAGTTGTCTGGTCATTTTTGCTCATTTATCTTCCACATGGTTGAACAAGAAAGCGGACTTATTTTTACATGAAAAAATTAACTTATGGTCTTGTCGGCCCTGCTACTAAAGTTAGTCTCCATGGTTATCGTCAGCCTGCTAGGTCGTTTTATCTCTCATCTCATATAATTCACAGTCTTTCTCATTGTAAAATAGTTTCACTTTATACCATTCACTCCTGTGAGACGACGTCCCTCAAGGGCATTCGAGCTCATAAATACACTCAATCTGGCAAGCAATTTTACTGAAAAGGCGTCCGACCTGAAGGTCTTGTCCACTATCATCCGTTTGTTTCCGATCATGTTGTCCTTGATAATAACATTCCACACATTCACGCCAATAAATACACTTTTTATTTATAAAGTGTTTCTTTCCACGCCATTTACTCTAGTTAGGAGATTTGCTCGATATACTTCTACCCGCAGGCTACACAACTAGCCCAATAGACTCGATACTTTACCCGACATCCCACCACATTCACGCTAATAAATACACTCAAACTCGAAATAAATTTAACACAAAGAGCATCAAACTATATACAGAACGATTGTGAGATTTCCTCAAGGCTGATCAACCTGTAGTTTGGTCGTGTCCGATCATTTTGGCCTGCCAATGATTAATGACCTCGCTGTTTTGGTCTATCATAGAACAAACCTTACACTGATCAATAATAAAAAAATAAATAGAAAAGACAGTCCGAAATGATCTGAAACTATCTGTAAGCGATTTACTCGACATTCCTCCATCTGTACGCTATCCAACTAACCAATCGACTCGATACAGAGCTCACGCTAATAACTACACTCAATCTTGCTATACATGTAACCCAAAAGGCATCCAGCAATTCACAAAGGCACTGTGCAGTTTCTTCGAGGTCGATGAACTTGTTAGTCATGTCGATCATTCTTTCTGACGTAGCAATAACCTTTCTATTTTGGTGTGTCATTGACCAGACTGTAGTATGACCAAAACTGAGGCCATGGTTCGCACAGCCCTGCAGACTCCATGAGGAAATCTCACAATCCCTCTGTGAATAGTTGGATTCCTTTAGTGTCGTACTGCAAGATTGAGTGTATTTATTAGCGTCAAGGTATACAGATCTAAACTACACATATGAAGTTCGATTTGTGCACGTCTGTAATTTTAATATTTCGGTGCTATAGTTAAAAAAAATCCAGCTCCAAAAATAAAGTGCACAGATGCACAGAAATTAAATTTCAGTCGGTACTTGTAATGTATCCCAATGCACATTCAGATAAGGACAAAGAATATCTTTATATAAAAAACGGTTTTATGGTGAAAAATATTTTTGAAAACATATATGTATTTTTCTGTTTTTCCTGTTTGTTTGGAATAGATTCTTCTAAACGACCTGTTAAAAGTGTTATTTTGATAATGTCGCCGCGGGGGCGACGGACAAACAAGTGCGTAACACTGTAACACTATAGAAGAAAAGAAAAATTACATCACCCAAACTCGATGGGAATGACACCTGAATGCCCCTGACTACCATTGTTACACTCATTTCTTTCCAGAATATCCCCCAGAATAGTTGACGTACATATCGCGGAAATGGTGTTTCGGGGCCCACTCCTCGTTTTACATAAGGTTGACCGTAGAAAATGGGGCCTGGTTCACCAGTAATACTGGTTTTGATAAATTGGGTTACTCCGTTACACAATTAGTGTTTCGCAGTGGAATGGTCAAATAAAATTCAGGACTATAAATTTGTCTTTTATTTTGTAAACTTCTTTTGCGGTACTGGCTGATGTGTCATGACCTGGGATCGAATTAATTTAATCCTGGCTGATAGGTGTTTTTTCTCTAATCCGTCGTTGACCCGTTCGGTGTTTTTTTTTACCAGAAGAACGCTGTAAAATAATGACCCGGGCGGATTTGTAAGACAACAATTTGGGACATGATTTCACCACAGGCTTTGTAAAACTATACAGAAAATCCATGGAAGAGAACAATACCCCGTGTTATGAAAGTGCGAAAGGACACAATGCGCCGATCTATAAATAGAAAGTTGGCCGAAAAATAAAAAAAATACCCTTTTTCGCATTCAATAAGGTGTTTAGAACGAACCGTGAACAGCCCGAGTACGTAACCGCGATCCTTTCGATACCCTAAAGTAATCGGTGTTGTGCCTGACTTGCCTTGGGGGATCTTTCTACCATAAAGCATTTTCACAAAAAGAAAACTGGTTTATTGTTCTGAAGCGTTAAAATGTTCAACATACATTATGCATGTGGTTAATTACTCAGCAACGTGTTAACTCGTTCAAAGCGCGCTTCCTGTACCGCGAACTCATTAGTTGATACGGGTCCTCTTTCGGCCCTCTCCATCTCGGGTGCATAATTTGGCGGACGAAGCGGCTAAAGCTAAAATGCAATAAAAAAGCTTGATTAAAAAAATAAAATAAAAAAAGGCAGAGAAGCTCCAATGTATCAAGAGCGAGATAGTTGGTCATCGTCCGTCTCAATTGTTGGGTGTTATTCCTTGGCTCCATATAGAGAGCATGTAGGTATGCCACCCGATATTACAATTTGCAGCGAGGGGCTGTTTTATTTTCTTACATTACTGATGATTATGTCCGTGTTTATTGTGACTGAATATATTTAAAGCTTTTTCCCATGAAATTAACAATTTTCTAACTCTAAATTAACCATTTTTTACTTTAAAAAAAACCTTTATTTGAAGCAGTAAAAAACTTAGAAAATGGTATGAATACATGTAAGCATGTAAAGGAATATTTCTTTATATTGCAAATTTCTTTTTAATAGATAAAACAATAGTGCTCTAAAAACTATATGAAAATTAATTAAAATTTTCAATTACACAATTTTAATTATAACAATTAAAATTTAAAAATTAGATGAATTAAAATATAAAAAAGTTCTTCTTTTCATTTAAAACTGTAAGAAATTGTTACTTTTACGGGCACTATTATTTTATATTTACAAAAAAAAGTATTCATTTGTCGATTTATTTAATTCTTTAATTCACTTTACAAATCAAAATTTTGATTAATTTCTTTTTCCCCTCAGAAGTTTGT